GCCCCCCAGTCCTCTCCCCTCCTGGAGCAGTGGCGGTGCACAGGGCTGGGCGGTTTGAGATGCAGGCATGAGGGGGAGCTATGCCAAACTCTCCTAGTGCTGGAGCGGGCGCCAGAGCCCACGTCTCCAGGGCTCTGCTCGGGGCCAGCCCCCAGGTCCCTCCCTCTGCTTTCCCTCCAGCGTCCTGATGCCTGTATCTCTGCCTTTCAGCTACGGTTACAATGACGTGGTCACCATCCCAGCTGGGGCCACCCACATCCTGATCCGCCAGAGCAGCAGCTCCGCCACAGCCAGCGATGGCATCTACCTGGCGCTGCGGAGGCAGGACGGCACCTACGCCCTGAACGGGAACTATGTCCTGGTGCCCTCGGAGCTGGATGTCAGTCTGGCGGGCAGCGTGACACTGCGCTACAGCGGGGCCACCAAGGCCACGGAGATCATCACGGGCCGCGGGCCACTCCACGAGCCGCTCACCCTGCAGGCACTGGTGGTGAGCGACCACAAAGCCCCCCGGCTCAAATACACCTTCTTCGAGCCCAAGCAGCAGAAGCGGACGACAGAGCAGTGGCTGAAGCAGAAGGCCCAGATCCTGGAGATCCTGAGGAACCGGCGCGGCCGCAAGGAACCCCCCCGGCATTAGCCGTTTAGCGCATGGCTGGAGTGGCAGCGCCCGGTGCAGCTTCCCCTGGTACCAGGGACCAATGGGCTGGAGCCCGTCCCAAAGACAGAATCAGATGCTGGAGCCCCCAGCTCAGGCTACCCCTGGGGGCTCCCCCTGCCAGGCCAGGGCTCCGTGGAACAGAGCTCTGCATCCGGCTGTTTGAAGGGGACTCTGCACTGGGAGCCGCTGTGCCGTTCCTGTTTGGCAGGGACACTTGCGTGTGCCGGGTCTCTATTTATTCGGGTATTTATTCGTGGCTGGGGCCATGGGCACTGGCCATGGTACGTCACTCAGCACCTTCCTTCGGCCTGGCTGAGCCTCGGCAAACTTGCCCCACGTGCCGCCAGGCGCGAGCCACGAAGCACATTTTGAATCAGCTTCTACCTCAGTCCCCCCGCAATCCCCACTAGAGCTGGGTCTCACAGGGTTCATTGGCGCGCTGGGCAGCAGAGGACTGCCTGGTCCCGGGGGCTGGGAGGGGCAGGCAGGATGCGTCCCCCTTCGCTGCAGAGAGGAATACGAGGGCTGAGTTGGAGCCCTCTGGGGCTGCGGGCCAGGCCTTGCTGCGTGTGATCCCAGCACTGTCTGGTCTTGGTGCTGCGCTGGCATCGTGGCAGCCTGGCAGTGCCCAGGAGCAGAGAGCCAGCTTCCCCCAGCCCATTTGGTCAGCGACTGCCCACGCAGCAAAGGAGGGACTGCGGGTAATAATTTAAAGTCTATTTAAAGCAAAGGGACGTTGCCCGGGCAAGTCCCTGCTGGCACGGCTGCTGCCGGTTTGCACCAGTTGCATTTTTCTATTAATTATTGTCATTATTTTTTTGTAATAAAAACCTGCCAAATTATTTATAGACCACGCTCGAGTGACGCCTGGTTATTGGGCCCGCAGGAGCCATGCTCCGCCCTGTCACGCCGCGCTCGGCAGCAATAGCGCCCAGCACGCTGGAGCAGGACCGGAGCTGGGACCTCCCACAGCCCGGGCCCCTGCCCACCTCTACAACACCCCCTGCTGGGAGAGGCCGGGGCTGAGTAGCTGGGCGCGCCCCTATCCTCACTGCTGTCCAGTGTCAGGCCAGCCCCTTTGCCGCAGGTGCCTGTCCCCAGAGCCCAGGAGGGTGATGTGGCTGGAGAAGGCCCAGCATGATATCCCCTGGCCTGGCCTGTCATTGGCTCCTGCCAGTGGCCCAGCACCGGAGGGGCAAGCGCTAAGCCTCGGGAAGCTGAGGAGGCTGCGGCTGCTCCTGGCCCCCTGGGAGGTCAGCGCTCCCGCCCAAGGACAGGCTGTGGTGGGGCAGTGAAGTGCCCAGGGCAGCGCCAGCTCGGGTGGGAGGGGGACGGACACACACACACACCCATTCCCTGGGCTCCTGTCCCAGCGAGGCGCCCAGCGCTGGAGGCCCGGTGGGGGACGGAGCAGACCAGACCCCGCTCAGCCGGTTTGCTGTGGCCATGGGCTGCCCACCCTGGGCCTGGGTGTCGGCCGCTGGCTCCTCCGCAGCTTCCCGCAGCCAATCAAGCTGGCAGAGCCTCCTTCCACCCCAGCCAGGAGGGCTCCAGTGCCCGGGGGCAGAGGGGGACTCCGCGGGCCGTTTCCCCCAGGGATCCAGCACGCAGCTGAGCAGCTACTGCCCCTGGAGAGCTCAGCTCACAGCTCCAGCTCAGCTAACGCCCTGTGCAGGGGGTCCGGGCTCTGCTGGGGCGGACAAACCGCCCCCTCCAGCTGTGTCCTCACCCAGCCACCCACCCTGGGAGCCGCGCTATGGGATCGAGCCCCTCACCCCATCACTGCTCCAGGAGCGGGACCCAGGCCCCATAATGCACAGGGCCAGCTGCATGTTGCTGCCCTGGCAGTGCCTGCTTGTGCCCCTGGCACTATAGCTGGTAGCTCCTGCCCTGCCTGGTGTGTCGATCCTCCTGCTCCTGCCCAGCTCCGGGACCAGTGCAGCCCCTCACGCTGCCCAGCGTCTCCCTCCCACGGCGGTGCACGGAGCTGGACTGACCGTGCCGAGGGGTCCCTGCTTCGGCCCAGCCCTGCCGTGCTGCAGCCGGTGGAAGGGAGGGCGTCGGACGGGGACAGGGGCTCTGGCTGCTGCCAGGAGTCCGGCCCAGGGGGCTGCGTGGCGGTGGGGGTGGAAGCTGCGGGAGCTTCCCCGCCACGGCTCTCCGTGCCAGACCCGGTATGACGCCAGCCTTTGATGACAGTGGGAGCGATGCCAGCCCCTCCCCCGCGCCCAAGGGGTTCGCTCTGTGCCAGCTGCCAGGCCCACGCGGCTCCCGTTACTGCTCCCCCCACGGGCCCGAGGGCAGCTGGGAATCGAATCCCCCCTTCTCCGCAGTGCAGCTGTGCTGGCTCCACGGGGCACGACCCAGGCTGAACTGGCCTTGCCTAGGCAGCCGGCTCCACGCAGGCCCAGCACCCTTGGGCACTCACGTCCTGCCCCACCGGGCACCAGGCTCCCCCTGCACCACCAGGCCCTGGCAGGGCCGATGTTCCATTGTGCAGCCAGGCTGTGCCCCTACAGGCTCCCACACTGGTACCATGCAGCCCCAGCCCAAAGCCACCGTGCCAGGGCTAGGGCCTGCAATAGTTGGGCATGCAAACTCAGCACATGCCGGGCCTCGGCAAAGAGCAGCTCGTGTGTGTATGGCCCGGCCCTGGGGCTGCAGGCCAAGCAAGAGCCCTGGGGATGGGACAAGATCTACTAGCCCAGGACTGGGGTCCTGGCTCCCAGGACTGATCCTGGGCCAGAGGGCTAAGCCCTGCCAGGACCCCTCCACAGCTGCTCTGCCCCCACCCCCCATCCTCTTTATGACCAGCATGGGGGCACTCAGGGGAAAGCTGCAGGAGAGGAGGGCTTGTCTAGCGCCCCTTCTCCCCCCACCCAGTGCCAAGGGGCACACACTGAAGCTCAGGGGGCTGGCCCAGCAGGATTGGGCCCACAGGGCAGCTCTCACATTCATGGCCAGGACAAGACCCAGCCCTGGGCACTGGAGGGAGCCCGGGGGCAACGGGCAGGAGTGGTTCCTCCTGCTGAGGCCGGGCACTGCCCTCCCCGGGGAGGGGGAAGCAGGCGTGGGCAGTTTCCTGCATTGCTGGGCACACGTGGCGCTGGTTCCTGCTGTCTGCACCGAGCTGGGGCTGACACGGGAGCTGCTGGGCTTGCAGGGAGCCCACCCAGAACAGCACCCCTCCGCTCTCCCCTTTGCCAGCACTACAGGCAACTCAGCTGCAGTGCGGGGCAGGATGTATCTCCTGTGGGCCCCATTGGATTTAGAGGGAGCCCACCACCACCACACATGCACTTGGGCGGGGGGGGTCACAGCCCCCATCCCAGTCCCCTGTGGGGGTCAGCAGAGGGGGGCAATGCTGCAATAGGGGCACAGTCCCTTTTGGGGGACACTCCCATGGACAGCAGCAAACAGCCTGCTTTCCCCCTGGCAGGATACAGCTCTGGTCAGTGCCACCTGGGGATCCCAGCCGGGGCACAGCTCACCTGCCCCAGGTGACCCCAGGCTTCTGCTGCCAGCTCAGCCACCCGCGCTAGGTGCCCCTGGGGAGGTCCCTGCACCCCTCGGAGATGTGGTGGGTGAGGGGACGGTTCCCAGCCCAGCCCTGGCCCCACAATACAGGCACAGGCCAGGTCCCCAGCTGGACCCTTTGCCAGGTGCAAGAAGAAAGGCAGGGGTGCTGGAGGCATTGATTACAGCCTCTCCCTCCAAAGCTAGGCACACACAGGGCCAGGGTCCTTGAAGCACAGCCCCGGGGAGCACAGGCTGCTGGGGCAGAATCCCAGGCACACAGGGAGATGCGCTGCCATTCTCCCACCCCTGTACATGGCATCACAGCCAGCGCCTGGCAGGGGGTTATCTGGGTGGGGCCTGAGGGTTACCAAGGACTGACCGCTGCAGCTGGCATATCAGAGTGATCAACACACCCAGCAGAAGGAATGAAGGGGCCAGGTTCAGGGACGTACAGCACCAAGCACACGGGCAGCCCAGGCAGGGCGAGGCACCAGGGGGCAGGGCCGAGTTCCAGGGATGTACAGCACTGAGCACATAGGTAGCCCAGGCAGGAAGAGGCACCAGAGGGCAGGGCCGAGTTCCAGGGATATACAGCACCGAGCACACAGGCAGCCCAGGCAGAGCGAGGTACTAGGGGGCAGCACTGAGCACATGGACAGCCCAGGCAGGGCTGAATTTAGGGACATACAGCACCAAGCACACAGACAGCCCAGGCAGGGTGAGGCACCAGGGGGCAGGGCCGAGTTCCAGGGATGTACAGCACCGAGCATGCAGGCAGCCCGTTCCCAGTCACTACATAAGGCAGACAGAGTCACAGCCATCTTGAGCAGTTCCCAGGCAGGGTTTATTCACAGCTTGCAGGAGTCAGGCCAAAGGGCTGTCCGAACCCGGCAGCGTCCCGCTAACATGCACCGGGCTGAGGGAGCTGGCGGGTTAGCCAGGAGCGAGGCTACACCACCAACCGCCTCCGCCGTAGGGCCCTGGCTCCCCACCCCCGCCCTGTGGGGAGCAAGGGCTTGGCCGGTTACGCCAGGGCAGATCGCCGCACACTAAGCCCCCAGCAATGGTGCCCAAGTGCACCCAGCCCAGAGCTCCCGGCACTCAGGGCCCAAGGAGAGTCACCAGCGCCCCACCAAGAGGTGGGCTCTGGGGAAAGCCAGGCCAGCCTGGGGGAGCAGCTGGGAGCTGGGCAAGGCTTCACCACAAGCCCTGCCCTCACCTGAGTGCCAGGCTGGCTTGCCCACATCTTCCAGGGACCTTCCTTCCCTTGGCAGGGTCCCAGCTCCCTGCCCTGGCCCGGCCTGTGCCACTGGGCAGGGGAGCCTGGAGTGGAAACCGAGGCAGCAGGGCAGCCGGGCAGCCCCTGGAAAAGGTTCATCACCTGCAGGGCCATGGGCAGAGCCGCCACTCGGGGGCGGCAGCAGCAGCCCCCAGCAATTGCCAGGGCAGCAAGGCACCCGCTCCCTGGCACCCCTGTATGCCACACACCAGAGCCAAAGAGACCCCCAGGAAGAGGGGAGGCCAGGCCAGGCCCTTGGGATGCAGTAGCCATGCTGGGGGCCTCGCACACAGGACACCGAGGCAGACACACAGGGCAGCGTGCAGCCAGCAGAGACTCTGGCACCCCTGGCACTAGGCACAGCTAGCCAGGAACCGCTCTGCCGGCCAGGGATGGGGGAGGCGGCTCCAGGGCCCTGCCACGCAGCATAGCTCCTCCGGCGTGTGGCTGGCTCCCCACTTGGTCCATGGCATCCCGCAGCCAAGAACCCTGCTCTCGCTTGCCCTAGGCAGCCCCAGGGGAGGGGGCCAGGCCCAGCCACTGCAGGACAAATGTCCTCTGGGGAACGGCAATGCCAGCTCCCTCGAGAGGAGTCACGTCCCTGCGCTGGGCACCTTCCCTGGCACCCCCTTCTTCGTCTTCCCTTCCCAGCCTGTCCCCACCCACCTGGCGTCTCCCATACGCTATGGAGATGTGGAGTCACTCCCGCCTCTCATCAGCCTGTGCTGCCAGCCTCCAGCGCCAACCAAGCCCCTTGGTGCATCCCCCAGGCTGCCCCTCCTGCTTGGGGGGAGGAGGAGGAGCTCCCCATACACATCCACACCCTCTTCATCCTCCTTCAAACCCCCTTTGGGGTGCTGCCTGCAGAAAACACTTGGGTTATGCTGCTGGCGTGCGGAGAGCACTGCCGGTCCCACTGCCCTGCCTCAGTCCTTATCACACCACCTATCTCTTGTCTAGCAATTCTCATCAGCAGATCTCCACCTGCTTTACAATGGGAGGGGCTATCATTATGCCCATTTTACAGATGAGGAAACTGAGGCATCAAAGGGGGAAGTGACCTCCCCAAGATCCCCCAGTCCAGTGCTCTAGCTGCTGCCTCCTCCATCTGTCTGCACCAGCTCCTGTCTCAGACTGAGCTCCTTGGGGCAGAGACCATCTTTCTGTTCTGTGTTTGTACAGCCCCTGGCACCAGGGATCCTGGCCAGGATTGGGGCTCCTAGGCGCTACCGTAATACACCTAATAAATAGTAACACTGCCTGCTGGGCTGGAGGGAGCCACCAGCGAGGGGTGCCAACGCCCCCTCCCCCACCGCCGTGATATGGAGCAGGCCATCCCCCTGGGGACGGCGTGGGGAGGCTCCGAGTCAGCAGAGGCTGCTGCCAGGGCCAAGAACAGGAGCTCCGATTTGCCTGGGCACAAGCGAGTTCAGCTACCGTAAACAGACAGACAGACACACACACACACACAGAGCAGGCGCCCAGAGCCGAGCGCGCTGGTAATGCCACACAGGGCTATGTACAAGTGGTGCCATCCCTCCCTGGCCAGGAGCAGAGAACAACGGGCTCCATCCCCGGGCAGCGAGGTGCTGGCAGCTGGGGGCAGGGTGCCCAGCTCCAGGGAGGCAGGCACAGGGAGGGGGCTAGGATCCAGATGCAGTTGTGGCAAGAGGGGGGCGTCAGACTGCAGCCTCGGGGGGCAGCCCCCCAGCACTAACACTGATCCAGGGGAAGGGTCATGCACGGGGCCCACCCTGCCTAGGCGATCGCTCTCCATGCCCCGGGCGCCGGGACCCGCTGGGCAGCCAGGCGCTGCAGGGAGTCTGGCGCAGGGGGCTGGAGAGTGCCCCTCCACAGCTCACGATCTCAGCTTCGCAGGAGCACCATGTCCCAGGAGGAGTCGCAGGGCCGGGCACGGCAGACCCAGCAGAGTCGGGCGCTGCAGCTGCACCCTGGCCCCAGGCTGCCACCAGGGGGCAGCTGGGCAGGCCTAAATGAGCCGTTTGGCGGCAAGTTCTGCAAAGCCACCAGCAGGACAAGTCCCCTCCCCGAGGGGGAAGAGGCAGCGTCTGCAGAGGGGCCATGGAGGTCACACATCGTAGTTGGGCAGATAGCTGTAGGCAGGGGCCCCGCCTGATGGGGGGCTGCAGTTACATGGGAAAAACCAGCAGATCACGAAGCCTGGAAGAGAAGAGGAGAGAGTAGGGGAGGGGAGGTCAGTGTGGGCAGGGAGCCATGGGGCATCACAGCGTGGCCTGGCCCAGACAGGCTCAGCCCCGGGCCCTGCCCTGGCCCACACAGGCTGTTCAGGTGTAGTTACCCTGGTGTCACCCCATGGGGGCGCTCATTCAGGTACAAATGTCCTGGTGGGGGATCAGCCTGGGATCTAGGTTATGGTCACACCTTGGCTCACACCAGTCTAAATTCCCCAGGAAATACGAGCCCTCAGGGCAGCCCCAGTAACTGCCCCCCCAGAGGAGCCCCAGCCCACTCTCCACCTGCCCAGGTCACGTACCCCGTCCAAACACCTCCCGCAGCAGCGCGATCTTCGGCTTCCGGGTGTGTGCCACCTCCCGGCGCGCCTCCTTCAGCAGCCGGTTCCGCAGCTGCTCGATCGGAGTCTCATCCATGATGATAGAGACCACCTGAGAAACAAGAGGGGAGCCTGACGCACTGCCCAGCCCTCCCAGGGAGAGAGGCACATGGATTTACAGCTACACTCCTCATTCAACACGGGGCGCTGTGGGCGGTAGGGCAGGGGCGCTGGCTGTCGGGGGAAGCTCCCAGCTACTCCAGTCCTGGCCTCTCCCAGCAGGAGGTGCTGTGGGGGACGAGGCGCGAAGCCGCCTGGTGTGGTGTCCCTTGAAGACTAACCTGGTCATAGAAGATGACGGTGACGAAGACCCCGAAGAGGATGGACTCCACCAGCAGGACGATGCAGTGAGCCCTGGGGGGAAGGGAGCGGTCAGTTTCAGCTTGCTCAGGAGCTCTCAAGGGCAGGCTCAGGCCTTGCTACTGAGGATTTGGACCCAGAACCACCCACCTGCGTGTCATAGGCCCTGTACTGATGACACCCACTGGAGAGTTGACCTCCGCATTGGGAAAGAGGCTCTGGGGGCAGGAGAGGGCCCTGGCACGCAGCAGTGACAGCCGGAACCTCCAGTTGGCTATGGGCTTGGTACAACACCCTGCTCCTCTAGCACCTCATGGAGGGACTCGGGGCCACTCCCTCCCACACAGCTCTATGGGGCAGGAGCTCAGTGTCACCCGCAGGGAGCAGGGCTGAAATGGAACCCAGGTGTCCTGCCTCTAGGACCTCTCCTCCCCTTGCTGGGATCTGCCTGCACCCAGCAGCCAGGGAGGGGGGGAATCTGGCTGTGACCCCTGCACACTTACATCTGGACATGGTTGTTAGAGACGCCTCCAGCCACACCTTCCATCTTCCCGGGGAAGCTCCTGTCCACCGGCCACAGCCACGTGGTTAACACCAGCCCCATGGCATAGAGACTAGCCAGCCCTGAGACAGAGCCACAGGTCAGCGCAGGCCAGAGACGAGCGCCCTGGCCCCGGGCTTGGGCCAGGCTCAGAATCCCCAGCCCGGGCTAAGGCCAGAGAGCCTGGCCAGGAGGCGGCCCCGGGGAAAGGGCAGGTGCCAGCTGCTGCAGAGCCGAGTTCTGGAGTCACAGCCTCAGTTAATGCCGTTTGATCTCACCCGACCTGTCCTGCGAGGGCTGCCCAGGGCCTAGCCGCCCACCATTAATTGCTTCAGTACTGACCACCCCACCCTCACGCTCACCCCTGGGTGGGACAGCCAAGTCCCCCTGCCCCCCCTTCCCAGTCCTGGCCCCCTCTACCCCAGGGTCCTTTCAGCTTCTACACATGGAGACGTCAAGGGGGAGCAGGGAGTGGAGCCGAGGGGGGCAGGTGGTAGCTGTGGAGCTGAGGGGAATAGGGGTTGGGGGTCACGTAGGGAGCGGAGCAGAGGGGGGCAGGGGTTGGGGGTCCCACAGGGAGCGGAGCAGAGAGGGGGCAGGCAGTAGCTATGGGGCTGGGGGTCACACAGGGAGCGGAGCAGAGGGGGGCGGAGGCTGGCACGGAGGGAGCGGGGCGGGGGGGGCAGGGGTTGGGGGTCACGTAGGAGCAGAGCAGAAGGGAGCAGGACTGGCAGGCAGTAGTGGAGAAGGGGCTATGCCGGTAGCTGGTGCATGTAGCTGGGCTTCCTGGGTCCTCCCGCCCCGGCTCCCCTTGGCCATTGCTGCGGAAGGGCCCTAGGAGGCGCCAGGGAGACACGTGCAGGGCTGTGGGACCAGAGCTCCCCCTAGTGAGGGACAGCAGAATGGCAGGGGCCTGGCAGGACAGCAGCGGACAGGGACCCACGGCGGGGGAAGGCACAGCTCTATGCTGGTGCTGTGAGCTGCAGCGCCACCTACTGCTGCATCACCATGCCCGCATCAGAGCTCCCTACAGCCGGCTCCCCCCGCTCGGCAGCCACGTACCAGTGTAGAAGAGGAACTGGATGAAGTATTTCTGGTTTAACTCGCCAACGCAGTTGTTGATCCTACAGAGAGAGCACAGGTCTGGTTGGGGTCAGCAGAGCGACTCAACACCACCAGCAATGGCTGGCAACAGACACCAGGTGCCCCGTCCCTCCCCCTCCCCGGCACCTGCACCCAAGGACAGCAAAGCGAAGCCCCTTTGGAGGGTCGGTTCCACCTGCCAGGGACAGGCAGCCCTTTCTGGGGGGAGGGCAGCTCAGGGCAGGCAATGGAGAATCCCACACCCGCCGGGAAGTTCCCACACCCGCTGAGCTGAACCGGGACCCTGGGGTTAACACCCTTCTCCCAAAGGGCACTCAGGGATTTGGAACAAGCTACTCCAGCAGCAACACAGAACCCCCTAGTGCTACCCTGAGGCATTGCCTCCCCCATCACGTCCCCAGTGCCACTGCCTGCAGCCTCGAGGTGGCGCCCAGCCCTCCCCAGCTCAGCTGATGTGGCCAGAGAGGACTCTGGCAGGTGCCACAGCACTGGGGACAGAACTGGGATTCGCAGACCCATCAGAACAGCGTGTCCCTGGAGAGATCCCAGAGCTCTGCTTCCATCTGGGAGGGCCTACGCACGGCCCCAGCACAGGGGACACCTCACCCGGGGGGCAGGGAGGGGAGAGGAAGGGGGTCCTACAGCTCCAGCAATGCAGGGCACTGCGTGTGCCCAGCCCACAAAGAGACACTCCCAGGGGGTGTCTGCACACACACAGGGTGAAGGGCGCTGCACTGCATAGACCGCGATCGCAGCAGGTTGACTCTGCAGCAACAAGCCCAACAGCCATGGCAGGGCCCATAGGGGGAGCCAGGGTCTCCGCACGTGCCCCCTTCTCTTCCCTGCAGCTCTCACGGGCCAGAGCTGTTACCAGGCACCTCACCAGGGGCAGTGGTGATCCATGCGGCGGACGCAGCGGTGGCAGATGCGGCAGTGGTGCGCCCGCGGCGGGCGGTACGTCTCACAGCGGTTACACACAGTCCAGTCCTCATTGCTCTGGGGAGCAGAGAAGAGAACTCTTAGCTGCAGCCCTCCCTGGGATCCTGGAGACCCGCCGGAGCAGGCACTGGCAGAGGTAATGCAGGGGGCCGGGAGGACAGGCGGGCCAGCAGTGAGCGGCGTCAGAGCATCTGGGAAGCCCAGCACTGGAGCAGCAGGAGCCATGGGACAGACAGTGACAGGCGGAGCTGGGGAGGGGAGGGAGCCTAGACAGCCCCAGCACTTCCATAAACCCTTGGATTTTGCATATAAAAGCAAAAGATGGAGTCTGGCTCCCTCCCCACGCAGGTCTGTACAGGCTGGAAATACCCCGGGTTTTTGCCACTAGGGGGCGCCTCTGGGCAGGGTAACAGAGGATATACAGCACCAGGGCCATGCAGCCTGGAGAGGAACGTGGGAGGGAGACACTGGGCAGAGTGATGGGCTGCACCGGTTCCGGAGCTGGGCAGGAGCAGGAGGATCGACACACCGGGCAGGGCAGGAGCTACCAGCTATAGTGCCAGTGGCACAAGCAGGCACTGCCAGGGCAGCAACAAGCTAAAGCCCTGGGGCAGGAACTTAGGGACCAGTCCCAGCTCGGCAGGGAATTGACCATCAGGCCTGTCCGTCACCAGCATCCCGGAGCCCTCCCCGGGCAAGTCTCTCCACTGGGGAGTTTTGGGCCCATGCGCAGCAAGGGCTGTTGGCAGAGTCACTGGGATCGCTGCATGCCCAGCCCCGGCATTAGCAAGCCTGCTCCCCCGCCATCTCCCCCAACAAGACACGAAGCTCCACTTCCCAGAACAGCTGCATCAGCCTGGGGGGGTTCTCCACAGCCAGCCAGAGCCGGCACCGCTGCAAAGGGAATGCTGGGTCTGCTGGAAGGTTTGGGACTGACTCCTGCGCTGGCCGACCCAGCAGGGAGCAACCCTTGTGGCTCAGCCATTGCATGGGGAGGGGGGCTTGGCTGCCAGCCCAGCACACGGGGCTGTGGGCTGGGGGGCTGGGCACTCAGGCCAGGATGCTGCCGTTCCTAGGCTGTAACCTGGCCACGTGCCAGCTCAGCCTCTTCGCCTTGCCTGGGGGGGTTGACCAGCTGCCGAGGTGCTTAGAGGCAGCTGAACACGTAGGGCGAGTCTCCTGCTACCCCAGGCTCAGACTGTCTCCAGCCACAGGGAGAGATGGGGTCATCGGAGAGCAGAACTGCCGCTGCAGCACATCTCCCCTCGCTCTCGTCTCCAGAGCCCAGAGTAACTCTCTGCCCATAACCCCCTGAGCTGACCCAGCCTGTCCCAGAGGGCATCTCTCCCGGAGCCCCTCGCAGCAGCTGGACAGCAGGTTACGCCAGCTGCGTGAGGACCGGCAGCCATGTCACTTTAATCCCATCCCAATGCTACTACGCTGATCCACGCACCTAATCCTGAGGCTCACTAAGCTGCCGGATTCACTATCCTGGGCAGTGGCTAGACCTGCCCCCTCCTGCGCTAGTGCACTGAGCTCTGTGCACCACTCACCCGCTCGCTCTTGTGGGGCGTGTTGCTGCGCAGGTCAGAGAAGTCGATGGCGGTATCGGGCAGCGGGACCATGCCTGGGAAGGAACCAGAACGGGAGACAATGAGGAGGCTCCAGCGGCGAGCAGGGCACAGATGGGTCATGGCACCGCGTCGCACCCTGCATGCATGGCTCTTGAGTCCTCGGGTTGCCCTGGAGCCAGCTCAGCGATTGCCTGGGCTGCGAGGGCTGGAGGGGAAGCTGGAGAGATGGGAACAAGGGGGAGCAGCCTTGTCACAAGCGTTGAATTATACTTAGGGATGTGAGAGGGAAAGCGCCCAGCGGCCGCAGCTCTTCCCTTACTGCACGTGCCCAGAGCTGGCTGATGCCAGGCGAGGCGCATAGGGTCTCTAAGACACTCTGTTCACTCCCCATTTCCAGAGCCTTTGTAGGGAGCGGGACGCCAAGCAGCAGGTGGGTGAATTCCAGTTCCCCCTCCCCAGGGATGGCTACGCGTCACCTCGCCACGTCAGATGCCTGGCTCCAGGGTTCCCTGTCAAAGACGGGGCTGAGTCGGGGAGTCTAGCTCCAGACTCGCATGCCAGGGACACACCACGCTACCCCAGACCACCCCAAAGCCGTGCAAGATGCCACTTGCTACCAGATGGCACTAACAAGTTCACATGATTCCACCTGTGACAAGAGGCCTGGGGTCACCGCAAAAGCAGCAAATCTCCCACATCCGTCATGCCAGCCCAGCCTCCCAGCCTGCACAGAGGGCAGGACCTGTGTCAGGTCACAGCGAGCCAGCAGCAGAAACCTGGAGTCTGCCAGCCTCCCACTCCAAAAAACTAAAGCAGAGGTGCAAAATGGGGGAATGTTTGCTGTACGTTTATGAACAAGCTGCATGACTCAGTTTCCCCACTTATTTTGTATTGCTCCCCACTGGGGCTGAAGGGGTTAATTTCTCCCCCGGGACAGAGGAATAAGAGAGGCTGGCTGGATGTCACACAGGCAAGGGGCTGGTCTGGGTTGGTAGGGATGCGCCCACATGCACAGGGAGGGCCTTGCAGAGAAAACGGGTGCCTTGGGGACCGGCCAGTAACGGTTACCACCCAGGATCCGAGGCAGTGGAACCTGTGAGCAGGGCCAGCTTTAGGACCTGCGGGGCCCGATTCGAATACCTGGCAAAAGTCCGGGTCTTCAGCGGCGGGGGGTCTGCTCCATGTCTTCCTGAAGGACCCCCTGCCGCCGAAATGCCGCCGAAGACCCGGAGCGGACCCCCCGCCGCCGAAGTGCCGCCGAAGACCCAGAGCGGACCGCCGCTGGGTGAGTAAGGCGCGGGGCCCTCTTAGGCCCAGGGCCCGATTCGGGGGAATCAGCCTAAAGCCGGCCTTGCCTGTGAGCACACGGGGGCTGCGATGGGGACAGACACAGGAGATGCCAAGAGACCGGGCTCATGCACAGGGATAGACACACAGGGCCAGAGAGCGAACGAGACACAGGGATGGAAACCCGGAGGCTCCAGGAAAGGGGCAGACGACTGCTGAGATGGACTTTGACTGAAGCTTGGCTTTCCCATTGGAACCTGCAACACTTCAGTCCTGTACTCCAGGTGATGACACCTGCTGCTTGCTATGCCAAGGCTGTCCTGTGTCACTGAAGGCACTTGCTGGTTGCGTCACCCCTGAAGCGCTAAAGGCACTAACAGGAGTCTGAACTCAGCGGGACTCGCTGGGAAGCCACTGTAAGAAACAGGGGGGCTGTAGCCCAGAGGCCCAGGCTTGGAGTCAAGGGCCACGTGACTCATCCTTGAATAAAGCTAAACCCAGGGCCTAGCAAATAACAGGAACGCTCCCAAGAGAGGCAATGTAAAGACTAGGGCATCAAGCCATCCATGACACCCTCCTCCCCTCCTATGGCCAGGGACAGAACCCAGGAGTCCTGGCCCCTAGTCCCCTCCTCTGCTGGACCTTGGTTCTTTCCACCTGCTGCTTGGATCCTATAGGGGTCTCAGAGAGCGAGTGAATCAAGCAGCCCTCTGACATCCCCAGAGTGACTCCTGGGTGCACACAGGTAAGTGAACATAATCCCAACTGCACCATCCCCTACCCACTACTGACACAGGCATGCAAGTGGGGGCCGGGGGCCACCTGTCATTATCATGCATCTCTGCCACCGCTAAACCAGCCCAGCCTGGCTAGACTCAAAGGACACATGCGGGTCTAGTGAGAGAAGACAGAAAGGGGCAGGACCGTCTCATCGAGCGTTTCAGCCAGAGAGCCCAGAGCCCTTTACAAACAGGGGCAGGATCATTTCCATTCCCACCCTCTGGAGAGAGGCGCAGCCTGGGGCAGGGACCATGTGGCAAGTCAGCGTCAGGAACGGGGAGACCTCAGTTCTCACTTCCCGGCTCTCTGTCTGAGCCACTAGGCCACCGATGCCTCCCCAGCGTGGGCAGAGGACCAGCTGAGGGTGGGTGCTTACCTGGATCAGCAAAGACAGCTCGCGTGTGACAGGCCAGCAACAGAAGGACAATGAGGTTAAACATCACGGCATGGAAGGGACACCAGAGGCTGGCGTAAAGGGAACAAGGAGAACCAAACCTGTCAGACACCGAGCCCAGGTGCAGGTTCCCCAGGGGCTGCAGGGCTATTTTAGACTCCGTTACGAACATCGGCTTCTGTGGTCACACAACGCCAGTGTGCGAGGCCTTTATTCTGGCTGCCGTGTCAGTAAGTTAAAAATGCTAAATATACCCAGAAACGAATCGAGGTTACCCAGAAAGCGCTCCCAAACCTGCACCCAAGGGCAGGGCAGAAGAGCTACATGCAGAAAGGAGTCTGGGGAACGGCAGCGAAGGGGCTGGAGGCATGAGAAGGGTCTACGGAAGGGTGTAAACCCTGGGTGGGTGGGGACTGGCAGAGATGGAGGAACCAAAATGGCAGATTTATCAGCCTGTGCAATCACCGGGGGGGCGGCTGACACAGGCAAAGCCTCCTCACAGCTCTCTGAGAACTGGAGACAACTCAGCAGAAACGGGTCAGCTGGCACTTCCCAGGCCTGTCCATTCCAGTCGCTAGGGAACTCTTCCAGCCAGTCACCCGGACAGCAGCGGGAGATCACATTACATGTGCACTAAGCCCAGCCCTAGAGCTGTAATCCGCACCACACGCCCCAGGCCAAGTTACCAGGCAGGGGGAACAGACACTAGAAGGGGAACCATGTTCTGAGCAGCTAGAAATTCCTTCCCTGTTGTCTGGTGAATCCCTCGCTGCCCATCTAGCCCACAAGGCCTGCGTGGGAGATGCCCCCCCGGCCTGCACTAGAGCTCAAACGCCAGGCCCTGCTGCTGGAAGGTCAAAGGTGGCTGCAAGCTCTTCTGTGACATGCCTAAATCCTTGGAGGTCAGCAACACCTGAGGCGCAGCTGAGTCAGGGCTGGGGAAGCTCCTACACCCGGCAGTGGCGCTGAAGTGACAGCTGCATGTTGCTGACCCAGTTTGGGGGAGCCGGGGTCAGCCCCAGGGGTCTGAAGAGGGAAGGAAGGGAGCTGGCAGCCAGGCTGGGGCTCCTGGCCTGTAGTGGTTCTGGCCCCTGCAAGGGCAATGGAGGGAGAACACGCGTGGCGGCACTAGCCAGACAAACGAATGCAGAACGATGCTGATCCAGGGACGGGGGCTGGTGCTGGGGCTCAGGGGAGCTGGATTCAAGCCCTGGCTCTGCCAGATGTCGCACGTGACCTTGGGGGAGTCACTTCCATCTCTCAGCCTCAGTCCCCGTCTGTGACCCAGGGATGCGCCTCGTCCATTAGACACCAGCCCGCAGAACTGGGATTGGCTCTGGCAGCGCCTCTGTCCCTCACCTTCTCTGGGAGCAGTGCGGCCAGGTGCAGGGAACCCGGGGAGCCCCCCATATCTGGGAGGGGGCCTAGTGACCCCTGGCAGGGGGTCGACCCAGCACCCCAGAGCAGGGCTTCACGGGACTGACCCACCCCAGAACCATAGGAAGGGGGGTACGTTTCAGAGGGGCATCTCAAACCCCTACTGCCATCCTGCCCCACCCCAACATTCGCCCCGCCCCCAACTACTCGGCTCCGCCCCCCGCGCTGCCTGCCCCGCCCCCGCGCCAGACTCCGCCCCGGCCCGGGCCCCGCTACCTGCCCCGGAAGCCCGGCTGCAGCAGGATGTGGGTGAGGATGACGTAGTCGGCGTAGCCCACGCTCAGGTAGGTGAGCAGCAGGCAGAGCGCCCCGCACGGGTCCCGCCCGCAGCGGCCCGGCCCCGCCGCCCCCATGGCCGCCGCCGGGGCCCGGACACAGCGGCCGGGCAGCAGCAGCCGAGGCTCAGCCGGCTGGGGCTGGGGGCGGGGCACGGCCAGGCACCGCCCCCGCCCTCCTCTCGCCCAATCGCAGCCAACGCCTTCCCAGGCGTCATGGGGGCGGGACAGGGACGCGGAAGAGGAGGTGCTGCCTGTGTACCGTTTCCATGGAGACGTGGAAATTGGATCCCCGCCCGGGGGATAGGGGGCGGGGGACCCCGTCCGAGAGCTGGGGGTCCGGGGATGGGAGCACGGGGGGGGGGGGGGGGGGGGGGGGGAGAGGGGGCGGGGGGGGCAGGGGGGGGGGGTGGGGGCCTGCGACGGTGGCAAGGGGACCTGGAGGGGGGGAGATGGGGTGACAGTTACCCCAGGCGGAGGGAGCCACCTGCAGTGGGTGCAAAGAGAGGGGGGAGGGGCTCTCCCCACAGGACGGTGCGGTGCAGCCCAGCCCCCGCCTCCCTGGGCTGGGCTGTGCCGGCCCCCCCCCCCCCCCCCCCCCCCCCGCATCGCAGTGCCCAGACCCGGCGGTTCCTCCCTCTCCCTGATGCCCAGCATTGAGCTGCCAAAGGAGACTGGATGCAGTGAAACACTTTACGCAGCCCCCGAAATGATCACGGCCAGCGCTTCGAATCCCCTCTGGGTGCCTGT